TCTCGCACTTTCACCCTTCACTTCCCCTACTGCATATTCCAACATTCTGCCTGGCTTCATCAGCTTCTGTTCTAATACGAGCAATCTGCTTTATTGGCGCCGGCTTTGATAAAAGTTCTACTTCTACAGCTGAAGCAAAGTTACTCTACGGGTCTCTTCCATCACAGCTGGCTAAGTTGTGTCTTCGTTCAAACGGAAGCCCGCCAAGCTTTCAGAATCTGCAAGCTTTAGTACTGCTGCAGTTCGCGGCCATGGCGAACGGAGGAAGTGCTGAAAGAGCTGCGTCCCGACTCATACATCCGCTCCTCGTTGCAGCAATACGACACGAAGGTCTTCTCAAGGTACACGGCGAATGTACCAAAGCTACACGCAATGCAAAGTTTTGGACATCGTGGATACAGAAAGAGTCGAACAAAAGGGTACTCTGGGGCGTGTATGCAGTTGACTGCTACCAGGCAATACTTTGTGGCAGTAAACCTATTCTATCACTGACAGATACGAGAGCCTCTTTCCCATGCGACGATGCCAGCTGGACGGCTTGTTCTGCATCTCTATGGGCCACGCTACCTTCTCAGGATCCTTCTAGCTGTTTCCTGTCCTCCGTTAAAGGCCTCATGGTCGGTCATGCTCCCGCTGAGACAAATTTGACAGCCTTTGGGATGAATCTTTTGATCTTGGCAGTCAGTTCGCTTTTGCTCGAAGCCCAAACATCAATTCTACCCGTCGATACTTCGGCTCTGGAATTGGCACTTCAGACTTGGTATGGAACTTGGCGGCAATTTCAAATGCAGTCCCAAGACGCCGGCAATAGAAGTGCGAACTCTATCCTCATCACTAACAGTTTGTCCTTGTACCGATTAGGGGTCAATTTTCTCAGAAATGGGCGGCCTGTTCTGGATGAAAGAAGTTATCTGGAAAGGTCTACTGACACTAGGAACCCTCTCATTATCAAAGAGCAAGTATATCAGGACGAAATGATGGAATACGTGAAGGGAGTACTCAGTGCCTTTGAAGAAGCTTAATTCCAGAATCTGAGAATGAGTGATGTAAGGTGAAAGATAGAGATGCCGTGAGCAGGGTCCATGAAATGAAGTAAATCTTGAGAAATTTCCTGCTTCTTGTAGTAGGATGTTCAGAGAAATAGGAGATTAAGATTGCCACAGATAAAGCCAAGCTCATCCGTCTTCTCATGCCGCGACATCAGCTTGCGTGAACGAAAACCCGCCGACGTCCGCAACCAGCGCTACTATAGATCGCCCTGTTGCCATGTTAAATACGAAACGCGCACAGGAACATAAGTGCTTCTGTTTCCATCGTACCATTTTGACGCTACATCACAATGCAGCAGTCGTCGTCGCGTGGTGGAGGATTGCAAACAAAGCAAGCTCGATAAGCTGCTCGCTTCGAACGGCCTGTACACGTAGGGCAAACATCTAGGGTTTCAGACAAAGTCCATTTCAGTAAAGTCGATAGGTACAAGACTGGAGATACGAGCACGTACGGTATTGGCACCATGGCGAGATCTTAGTGCTGAAGTGTTTGCGTGGCCTGTTGCACTGAGGGATAGCGCAAACCTGTGAGTATGGATTGTGCATTGTGTCGGTTTACCTGAACGATACTAGAATTTGATATGAAAGGAAAATCTCGAGGACAGCAGAGGAAGGAAGATGTGAGGGGCGGAGATTAAGTACCAGAGTCCTAACCGCCAGCCTGATTTCTTAATACGATCGAAAGCAGGCTCTCATACGACTGAAAGTGCAAATAATCTCTCGTCAGCACATATCTTAGGCATTCTTCTTTCTTATTTGCTAGTCGTCTGTTGTGGCGCTTCAAGACCATATATCCGTCCCCAATGTGCAACCTTTGATACATCATGCCACCAACATGTAGACCACCATTACGTGTCAAGTCAGACAGTCGGGTCATCTAACAGGTGGCCAGAGAAATTAAAGGGTCATTTGGACCGAAGACAATAGAGACCAGGCAAGACTCGCAAGGGGGCAAACAGTGTGACTTACTACAAGCCAGTAATAGGGAGTTCTGACATTCTTGCAGGGGTCACACATTTCCAACACTGACATTGATCTCATGCTCCATATGTTGATTGAAGTTTGCACTTCTCGGCCGTAGGCAAGCTTTTTTAATATTCATATATCACATTCTGGGTCAGTGATTCAAGCTATCAAACGTCCCGTACATATTTGCCCAACAAGATAACTTGATCCAGGCTTGCAATCTGAGTTCATGTTCATAATAATATTTGATATAACATCCAACGGTCCTTCGTATTCCCTATTTCTCGCCAATTAATGCCAGAGCAAAGTCCTTATAATCACCGCTCAGAACGGACTTGATGTTCCCACTTAACGTAGCACCAGTCACTGGCTTGTACGCCTGTTTTGTCTGATATAAGCGTCCCTGGTCCCAGTAGAGACTGACGAGCCTGTTGATGAAGAGACGGTCCTTGCGCATTGATTTGTTCAGTGGCATACTAAGTCTGCCTGCATCAGCTCGAGCTCGGTCCTGTGCATGGTAGAGTATCCGCAACAGCACGTCTTCCATGTCACCGCGGAACTCCTTCTCAATAACACTCTCAAGACTGCGGTGATATTTGTGTTGGTATGCATCGTTCATTGCCCGAACTTGGGCGTCGTTGCTGCTGGTGAATATCTGGGCTACAGAAACAGCGTTGGCACCGATTGTACCCTCAGTGGCCCTCTGCAGTTCTGTAATCTTCTGGTCAATCTCGTGGGGAATTACTGCAGCATTGTCTTCTGCTCTTCTGGCGGCAAGAACCATGCTGTAGAGTCGGTAGAGGGTATCGTCAACGTCTTCCTTAATATCGACCAGAAGTTCTTTGCCTCGGAAACGCTTGTACTCGGTGGTAATAGCACGAATATCTGCGTTTGAGCGGCAGAGAAGAACATCATTCAACGCATCTTCATCGGTGCCAGCGCGGTTGAGAGCCTTTGACAAATTTTGAACATCATTCTCCAATGGTCCTCGGATCAGAGCGAGAAGACATGTCTCGAAATCGCCACGGGTCTCACTTTCAATGTCCTTTGCGAGATCGCGCATAAAACGGCTATTGTAGTCGCGGACCAGCTGGGCCATCGTCCATGGATCAGCGTATTTGGGGCTGACGAGAACACGAATCAGAGCCTTTTCATCACAGCCCATTCCCTTCATGGCCTTTCGAAGAGCCTCCACGTCTGCGGCGGTGTCTACAGGCTTAACCCATGCTTTCTGGGCTGGGTCATAGCCTGGTGATGCTGGAGTGGGAGGGACGTTGACTGGCGGTCCACCGTATTGCTGCTGTCCAGGTTGCTGGTGCCACTGCTGGCTGGGGTAAGGCGGTTGCTGCTGCTGCTGTTGTTGGCCAGGGTATGGAGGCTGTCCTTGCTGAGGACCGCCGTATTGCTGAGGCGGATACTGTCCCTGTCCATATGGAGCTGGAGGAGGCTGTTGCCCATAAGGAGCTTGATGTCCTGGAGGCTGCTGGCCGTAAGGAGGCTGTTGTGGATAGCCTTGTGATTGCGAATGCTGCTGGTATTGGCCTTGCTGACCAGGAGGAGGGTATTGTTGGCCCGCAGGAGGATAAGGCTGGTTTGGCTGTCCTCCAGGTGGGCCTTGCTGCTGGTAGCCGTAAGGTGGTTGTTGGCCTGGGGGCGGCTGGTAGTAGCCCTGGCCAGGCTGCTGTTGTCCCGGATAACCCGGCTGAGGGGGTGCTCCGCCCTGGGAACCTTGCCAGTAAGGAGGTTGCTGCGACATCTAGGTAAGGCAGTGAATAAACTGTTAAGCTTCAATTAAGCGATGTTTGGAAGTTGATGCTGATGCGTGGAATGTCTTGGACCTGTTCAGCCCTATTAAACTAAATTTGACAGGCGGTGGATCGCAACGTGGAGGCCTCTTCCTGGTTACCTCCCACTATCATCTTAGCGGTTGTGCTACCGCAATCCGGTGTTGGTGCCTCACTGGCGTCTTGCAAGTGGCTGTGTCGCCATTAGGCTGATTGCTATCGAGACCTAAGATGACCCGATCCTCGTTGATCTATCCGATAACGAGAAGGTGCGGGGCAAACAAGGCAGAACGGGATGTTTGTGGCTTACAGGTAGGATGGGAAAAGGAACGATCGTCGCATGTGACAATTGTATGGTCAATAACTGACGGAATGGGAGCTTGCGATTATTTAGGCGCAGTGAGATGGAGCCTTGTCGGTAGAGGGATTTAGAACATGCGTCTGCAGGGCATTTGAGCAAAGCATCGCCTGCTTTTTAGCGGAGACGTAAGCACCTAAGATCAATCATTTCTCAAGGCTCGCTTTCTTTGCCTCCCAATGGAAGTGGATGACTCATAAATGGTTCCAAGGACACAGATAACTGGTCAATGATTCAAGGGAATTACAGATTATTGCATCCAGTAAAGAAGCCAGCCCGTGCTGGAAAAGAACAAACTGAATGGCCGTGACAAATCCTTTGCGCCCTTACAAAGAGAGAGCAATGTGGAGAAAAAGCTCTGTCAATGTGTTACGTGACGGGGGATACCAAGGTTGCAAAAGAAGTATTCGGGACGACAAGATATTGATCAAGAAACCTTCCCCGACATCTCTGTGAGATGGATCAATGGACATGATAAATAATAAAGAGATTAATAAGAGACACGAAACCATCAAGTTCACTAGCAGCAAGTAAGTAGGCATGTAAAGAATCACGCCTATAGATAGCCCCAAAAAGAGGGGACCAGTGCTGGCAAGATGGCTCTGGTTCGCTGCAATTGCATCTCAAACGAATCAGCTAAAATAGACGGCTCTAAGCGCTTTCACGTGCATATTTGCCCAGTCATGCCACTTCAGGAGCTAAGACTCTACGACATGGGTATATATACACATCCCCCACCTGGTATTTTTCGTGTGAACGCCTTCGATTTAGATGCCTGAATTTACCTATAGGTGATCCTACCCTGTACATGCTCGTGTACTTGGATTCAACTTGCACACTGTTATGGAGAACTCCGCTCACCAACTTAGAGCTGGGCTCGAGGCCCCAGTCAACAGTACTCAGAGCTGTCCTATATGTAGAGACCTAGAGCCCGGCGAAGGAAATGACGAACTCAATATTATCAGCACTCCAAATCTCAGAGATGGCTGTGGATACTGTCGTATTCTCAAGTCTGCCATGAAAAGTTTAGCTGATGGACCGACAACTCAGATTTTGGTTCATAGCAAAGAGGGTGAGCCTATTAGCGTTGAGTACTTTTCTGAAAAGAATCCAGGGGATAGCTATGTGAGCAAGGCCGGGTTCATTATCTATTCTCATGACAAGGTAGATAACTTACACCACCTGCACGAGTATCTAGGCTTATAATAACCCCAATATTAGTCTCGACTTATTCCTGATCTTGGGATCCTCGGCGCATATCCCAAGTCAACCGAGCTCGCCACATCCGTCAACTTCATCAATGCACAGATGTCAGAATGCAGCACCAAACACGAGTCATGCGCAAAACAGCCCGAGTCACCGCTCCCAACGCGCGTCGTTAGTGTTGGCTCTTCTGATGCAGACATTCGACTAGTGGAGTTGAAGAATGTCCCAGCACGATACATAACATTGAGCCACTGCTGGGGTAGTAAGCAGCCTCTCAGGACAATTATGGCCAACTTCGAAGACATGAAAAAGTCGATCAATGCAACCTCTCTACCTATTGTCTTCCAGCAAGCGATTTGGATCGTTCGGATGCTAAGAATCGAGTATATATGGATTGATTCACTCTGCATTATTCAAGACAGCCAGTCGGACTGGGAACTTGAGTCTTTGCAAATGTGTGACTACTACGAAAACTCTTTCTTAACCATCTCCACAGCCACATCACCAAATTCTACCATCCCATTTCTCGGCCCACGAGACACAAGATGGTGGCCGGCTAAACTCAACCTGACAAATGGTTCGAGTAGCGAAGACGTTTACGCGCAGCGCATAGCGGGCGAGCCAGAAGAAGAAGGAATGCTTTTTACGCGAGCATGGACATGGCAAGAGGCTGCTATGTCAGCACACACGATTTACTTCACGCCGTCAGAGCTCATTTGGGAGTGCTCTGAACATATTGTGCCACAAAGATACATACCCGATCTTGAAGCATCTGAAAGGTTGGGCTTTTCTAAAGTCTTGTCTATTCTAAGATTTAGCTTGAATCAAGATATGGATCCCAATATCGGCAGGTCAGTGGGAGATGGTAGTGGCGATATCTCGGGGAGTAAAATTCCCGCGGGCGTACCTCCGCTGGGTTTTGACTTTACAATTTCGTCAAATGCTTCGGCACTCTCACGTCCTGATAGCCCCAACTCCATCTCTAGCGACGCCGACATAATGAATTACGTTTGGGATATGTGGGATGACTTAGTAACGTACTACTCACGTCGTCATCTCAGCTTTGTCACTGACAAATTACCGGCACTGAGTGGCGTCGCGTCTCGTGTTCATAAAATCACAAAGTCCCGTTATATTGCAGGCATATGGGAAGATAACCTTGGTATCGGGCTATGCTGGGCCAGGGCATCTGGACGGTATCATGACTTACCGACCCTCGCCACGGAGTATGTAGCACCCTCATGGTCGTGGGCCTCGATACATGGGGCGGTGAAGAGTCGCATAGAGAGAACCACCAGTACTTTTGAACCCAGCTTCACCATTATTGAAGCCAGCTGTATTGTTCCAGGGCTCAACCCCTTCGGCAGGGTCACAACCGGCCACCTTTTCATCAGAGGACAGATCGTTCAGGCGATGTTGACATGCGAAGACCCTCGAACAAGTGTCTTTTATAAAATATCAGGGCCTATAGACAAATGGGAGTTTTCTCCCGACAGCGTCCTGGTCTTGAATAATGGCAATGTATCGAGAGCTAAGAAAGGTCCAAAGCCTTCCAAGTTCACGGCCAAGATTCATTGCCTATACATTGGCTCACGATACAATACTCGAGGCGATGAGAGTGATAGAGAATACTTCATGTTAGCGTTGGGTCAATCTGAGAATCCCAAAGGCGATACCTCATTTTGCCGCCTTGGTCTGGCCTATTCTCAGAGTAACTTGTTATTCCAAGGAGCTCTCGTGCGGGATGTCAAAGTGGTGTAAACATAACTTGAGTTGACTCTGCGGGCTCTATAGTTTTGGTTTATGCATCATCTTCGTTTGTTCATTTGGCTTCAACCCTTTCGCTTTCTTCCGTTTCGTCATCATTGTCGAATGTCTATCGTGGTTCATCTCATTCTCGCCATCAGAATGGTGAATCACAACGACTCTACCTTATCCACCCAAGTCCATCAAGTTCTGCCGACTTTGGAATAAAGTCTTTTCGATACTGGTAATTCCACCGAGTCTTGGTTCAATGGTGCTTCTGGTCTCTAACTTGGCATGTAATTTCTGCACGCTCGAAACTTGGATGTTATGAGAGTAACAAATACATGGCCACCTTGCAGGGATCAGTAGCTTCTCCGTCATAGAGATAACGTAATTAAAACTCTTCTGTCGTGTTGATGCTTACATCTTATATGTACAAATCAACTTTTTTAAACAGTAGCTGGAAGCCTCTCACATATTCTCACTCATTTCATTGCCCTTCCTCCCAGATACAAGAGTCTTACAAACATGACACAGTTATATCTATAGTCCTCAGCTCCATTAACCACATATGTGACTGAATACCACGGATATGCCCTCAACACTTGCCAAGTTCCCTACACACAGTATATTCTGCTGGCATTCAGTCGGCACGGAATGTATTGATTACTTGCTCAACTATTCATCTTGGAATTTGACGAGCTGGACCTCTTTATCCTGGCCGAGTGGGAATATGGCTTGAAGCGAACTTTTAGAGGCGATGAGAATCACGATATCGTCTTATTGCTACCAAGAAAGCAGCCTTGTGCTGTAGCAATTGGTCAGACATCTTGGTATAATGTCTAAGTTGTGAGCTAGAAGTGTTATTTGCCGCTGAGACCTGTGGCTGAGAGCTTAATCCGGCCGAGAGAAGATAGCTACCAAGAAAGGCTATTTCTGCATTAATATGACTTCATATATCGTCCAAAAAGCTATTGACTGAATCGTGTGTTCTCGCCTCCCAGAGCATCAATGGCTGACTTGTTCAATGGGAATGTTGTCCGCAAATGTTTCGAAAAACCGTTAATGACTATTGGAAAGGTTACTAATGCACAATTTACGACCCTGAAGGTTATAGGAAGAAAACTAAATATTAATTATAATAATAATACAATTTCTTATATACTGATACTAACTTAAAGCCAGCCTATTCTACTAGTTGGAAGTATGGCTTAATCACCCTATATTGTTCAGCAACTTCGACAGGAGTTCGGCGTTAGCTTTCACTTGTAAGATGAGTAAGTGGTAAGCCCAGCAGCGGTACATACTTGTTATCTTTTGTTGCAGTTTGTCTACCGTTTCTTGGTGGGTTGCAGAGGTTAAGTTCCAAAGGGCTTTGGCGCAAAGATAGCCTATATTAGCTAAGTTGGATGTTGACATAACGTCTCAAAGGTCAAAGGATGTTTAGCGGGAATTCTTAATATAAGTCCTCCGTTCGTCACTAGTGCTGATAGAAAGTCCACTTGACTGGTGCGAAACTGGTCATTAACCAGTGAAACGGCATAATTTCGGTGATGACCGGGACGAGAGACTCATGGAGGACGCATCTGATGGTATGGAAGACTGCCCACCAACATATTGTCGCAATGCCATTTTTGCAAACTTGGGCAGATGTTGCGCAAAGCCACTAGGCCAAAGTACCTAAAAACGAAGGCCCCCATTATCAGATAACAGTGACTTTGCAGGCTCTATTTTGTACAACAGCAAATCTGTCAGGGCATGGCTGGAGAGAAGATATTCATTCTCTGCTCATGTATTTGGCCACTTGAACGCAACATTTACTCCCCATTGCCACTCTTGGTAAGAATGCTGTCAAAGGGTGTCACACTGGTCAGAATCTGATAAGCTTATCGAGCCACGCACTTGTGCCTGTCGTGGCTGCATTAGCCAGGTGACGTTAAATAAGTAGCCAAGGTAATTGCTGACCTGACCGCTCAACCTCGGGACCCTCTTGAAAACGAAAACCCCCATTCAGAATAGATTTCCAAGCTGAGTAATCAGCCTCCATCAATCACATCACTCCCGAGTATGGCTCCGTTGACCCGTTGGCCTCACCTAATTCGCAAGGTGGGGAGCTGCCTCTCACCCCGCTCGGTACCGTTATATAAATGCTGGCTACCCCTCGATTTTAGCTGCCGAGGCCGTTTCACCAAAACAATTATCTCCAGAAGTTTCATTCAAATCACTTTTTTTGTATATCAAAATGGCTCAAGTCCTCGTCGTCTACCCTTCCGGTCCTTCTTTCGACCTGGATTATTATCTCACAAAGCACATGCCTCTCGTCGCATCGTAAGTGGACCCGATCTGACATGCCACGAGAATTCAATGCAATTACTAATGCCTCTGCAGCAAATGGGGTTCCTACGGTCTCAAGAACTACAAGATCATTACCTTCCAGGAGGGCGCGCCCTTCCAGATCCAGGCTACTCTTGAGTGGGAGAGCCTTGAGGTGTTTGAGAAGGCTGCTGCTAGCGAGGCTGCCGCTGCTGTCTTTGGCGATATCAAGAACTTCTATGATGGAAACCCTGTGCTGCTCAAGGGACCTGTCGTTGCCAGCGAGACTGTTGCGTCATCGTAAGAGTTTAATGAATATATTACCATACAGACCATTCCATCTGACGATTTGCCAGCGAATCTAAAATGTAGAGTCCGTTCTGGTGTTCATTGAGGTAGATGGTAATCTAGCGGACATGGAACTCCGCAGCCGCCGAGTACCAACGAAACGTGTACATATCGGTAATCTAATGCGATTCCGTGAGACATTCCGTGGAACCGGAATATCTTGCCAGAGTTGAGTAGCTATTGGATCAAGATTTGTTCAATGTCGATCGATTTGTGACACCTCACCTTCTGTCGTATGCCGTATTGCGGACCCGGTTCCGCATGTGCTCATCGATCATCCCGCTCCGACTCCAATGCTCTTCTCGGGCCTGATTGATCAGGTGATTGAGTTGAAGTCTCAGTCTCAATAATCCTCACTTTAATTTTCATGGGCGCTGTAGTGATACGACATTCTGAACAAGATACATGCGGCCCGATAAGACCATGTAGCCGGGTCTCCCGGCAATTCGGTCTCGGCTGATTCACATCCCGAACTTTCTCCCCAAAAGTCTGATCATCGGAATCGTGAAGACTGTAGACTCAAGAGCATACCAATCTGACATCTCTCCAGAGGTAAGTGCTGGGCTTCATGAAACAGAGTTTCACTTGACTTCACGATATCGGTCAATGAGTCCAGAAATACTAGACTATATTTGCCAACAGGTAAGAATCATGCGCCCTACTAACTCGCATAAGCCGAAACCTTGCTTCAGTCTTTCATTTGCCTCAGACATTCGATGCTGAGATAGATGCAGGATGGCCAACTTAACGCCATGGCCATGATGTGATGTCAAGGTCAAGAGGCGTCCTTATCGCCTGCTATCAACGCTAATCGGGCCGTCGATAACGACTCTCTAAACTATTTCTGGTTAAGCTCGACCATGACAGCAGCTCAATTGCGTCAATTTTCAGTGACGCAACCTCAAATTCGAGATAGACACTTTAGACTTGACATTTTCATCATCGCATCCAACAAAAATGTCTTCAACAAAAGCACCCGAGCTCGAGCTTGCGCCTTTCCTCAAATCAGCGCTACCCCAAGAAAACAGAGCCTCATTGCGCGACTCGGTCATTCCTCAGCTTTTAAGCGCTGTCGCAGATATTGGCAAAGGGTTAAGAGGATCATATGATGTTTCCATCGTCGGCACAGAGAACGCTTTTGGTGATGAGCAGCTGAACGTCGATGTCCTGGCTGAGAACATTATTCGTGATGGTATCGCAAAGTCGTCGGCTATCAAGACTGCCAGCAGTGAAGAGGACCCTGTCGAGAAGCCAGCGCGAGCAGGAGAGACAACGCAGGTTGATGCCAGTGTTGAGCAATACACCGTCGCTTTTGACCCTCTCGACGGAAGCTCTATCATTGGGCCAAACTGGTCCGTGGGTACCATTATCGGTATTTGGGATGGGGTGACAGCCGTTGGCCAGCCTACAGAGAAGCAAATTGGTTCTGTTCTGGGAGTATTCGGTCCACGAACACTCGCCATCGTTGCTCTCCGAGTGCCAGGATCCGAACCCACATGCTTCGAAGTCAGCCTCAACGACACACAAAAGTTCGTCGTCGCTCGTCCCGAGCTTCGTCTCGCCGAACCTCCCTTCAAAACACGCTACTTCGCTCCCGCCAACCTACGAGCCGCTGCCGATAATGAGAAGTACATGAATCTTGTGACAAGCTTCATCACCGACAAGTATACACTACGGTACTCGGGAGGTCTCATTCCCGATATCTATCACGCCTTGGTCAAGGGTCACGGTGTATACATCTCGCCTGTAACTTCTGCTAGCAAGGCTAAGCTGCGAAGACTTTACGAGCTGCTTCCTGTAGCGCTCGTTGTTGAGTGTGCAGGCGGACAGGCGATTGACCCTGAGACGGGTGCGAGAGTATTTGATACTGTATTGAAGGGATGTGATGATAGAGCTGGATTGGTTTGTGGAACCGCGGAGGAGGTTGAAAGGGTGAAAAAGGCACTGTTGGGATAGAGTACAGATTGGAAGCATAAAAAGTTCAGTTCATTTGTGAGCATCGATATGAAATCAATAGGCAACATTCATCAATTCCTTGTCCTCTCTGTGTGGAACACTCAAGCTGCTCCATTCGACGCCTTTGCAATGTCGGGAAAGTTTGGGCTCGTGACCTTGACACCATCCCCAGGCGCCAAAGGCTGCCAAACAGCGTAGTAAATGCTCGTTCTGTCCAGTAGCGTTTCTACCTCGAGTGCATCAGGGAAGACATCCACGACGGAGCCTTCACGTGCAATATCCTCAACCTCTTCACGCATCGCCTCGTGAACGCCATCTTCAGGCTTAGGGAACGACATATGAACAGCGATCATTTTACCCTCCGGTCGGTGTAAGAGCCAAAACGAGCCTGCTCCTCT